CTGCAGACAACAAACAAACAACAACATAAACAACAACAATAAATAAACAATGTGTGAGTGTGTGTGTGTGTCTGTGTGTGTGTGTGTGTGTGTGTGTGTGTGTGTGTGTGTACTGATTGTTGGAGGGAATCGAACCCTCAACCTGCAGCAGTGAACTCACCTGCCATCTCTTGATGTTGTTCCAGAGGTATTTGAACTCGTGGAAGCCCAGTTTACCTGTGCTGTCACTCTGCAGCCGGCGGGGTCAAAGGTCAAACTCACAGTATCACAGATTATAGATTACAGATTACAGATTATAGATTATAGATTACAGATTACAGATTATAGATTATAGATTATAGATTATAGATTACAGTAGTACTCAGTATCACTGTGTTGTGTTGGCACTATATTTGGTGGAAGGATACGTCCATGACAGCCACCATGCTCCTGCAGGACTCGATGCTGAACCCGTCGGTCTTCAGACTTCCATCTGAAACAGAACCAATAACGATTATTGATCGATTAATCAATATCAATAAGGATTATTGATCGATCAAACGCAGATATTAAACTGAATGTTTCAGACTCACGTTTGGAGATGATCTTGTTGAGGATGTTCATGAGCTCGTTGGGGCTCACCTCCATGTCCTGTTCACACACACACACACACACACACACACACACACACACACACACACACACACACGTGAGTCACAGCTGAGCAGTGTGTGACTCAATCTGTTTCCTGTTTTATTTCCTTTAATCATTTTCCAGTTTCTGACTCATCGCTGTAAAAAAACAAAAACCTTCATAACAACGCTCAGATTTCCTCCTCGTTGCCAAAACACTGAATGCCTCACAGAACCATGTGACTGCACGCTGTTTAATATATAATAATATAATATAATAATATAATATACTATAATTTAATAACATAACGGTTGGGCTCTATAAATAATACATTTACTAATTAAACTAAATTTTACAGGAAGTTTTCCTTTTTATTTTTATATATATATAATTTTTTTCTTTTAATTCTCTTTTATTATTATTTCATTAAATTTTCTGCTGTTGTTTAAGTAGATTATTATTGTTATTATTATTATTATTAGAACTGTGATTATTAGTGTCTTTCTTTACACTGTTACCCTATTTCGTGATGCTTTCTGTACGATTGAAGTGGATTTAAAAAAGATAATAATTAAGATTGAATTATGGCTTTATTATTGTTGATTGTTGAGGTTTTTATTATTTTATTATTTTACCTTTTATTCCAGAACAGAGTATTAAACTTTCTCCCCTGAGACCTCTTTGTCTCTTTTCCTTTAAATGTATTTTTATCTGTGCTGATATTGTTTTATTTAAAGAGAGGAAGGAAGTTCATCCTCGCTGCGTATTATTATTTGATTCCTTCCTTTTCTTCTCTTCTCAACCAAAGTAAATCAAACTGAGCTCACAGTCCAGCTTCCAGATCTTTACTACAAACATTCTTCATCATCGTTTTATAAAATCCACCCAGCGACTGCCGGCTGGTCTAACTGGTGAACACGGCCCTCGTATGAGTCAGAGAAAACCTCCGATTTATCCACTACAACGCCCCCGGAGGCACGAGAGCCTCCCTGCCTGACAATGGCAGGAATGTAGAGAAAGACTGGCTCTGTGTGTGTCTAACACACCCCGCAGCCAGAGAGCAAGACACACAGTTTATCTCTGCAAGAGAACTGAGTTTAACATCCAGCAGACAGACAGGAGACTATAAACCAGAGCTGAGCAATATATGGTGAAGTAATGGGTCACTCTGGGATAGGTTGTTGTTGTCCAGCCTGTCCAAACTCTACATTCACTGTAAGTAAGTTCAGAAAACTCATAATTCAAAGTCTCCGTTACATTTTTAATGATTCAAATTAATTAATTAAAGTCAAACTGTTTTTTAATAAACTAATAATAATTAATGATAATTTTCTTCTTTTATTCTAACTCTAATAAATTACCCTGAGCAAAGTTTTATCCTCCATCTCCTCCCTAATGCTCAGTGGGTGGAGGTTTTGTTTGTCTCTCTGGTTTAACTGGAAATCACATTAGTGGTTAAGACAACATTACAGAAGCTTCCTGACGGAGATAGAAAGATATCAGTCCACTCTTTCAAACTCTCTCTGCTCTCTTTCTTTAGTTTTATTCTACATACTGACCTTCCTGCCCTCAGACACTCAGGTGAAGCTCTCTGAAGTGTTATGTTGTCTAAGTCTGACATTTGGGCACAAATTATATGCAAAAAAAAGTTTAATTTCCACATTAAAATCCTTAAAAAAAAAAGGTATTTCTACCTCATTAAAAATCCCATCATCTATAAAATATGTCTCCTGCACTGTGTCTGTGCCCTGGTGGGTCCCACTGTACGGGCTGCATACCATTCCTGACTGCAGGGGGACTTTAACAGGAGACTACGAACTGAGGATGAGTGCGTATGATGGGGAACTTTTAGTTCACTTGCTCTCGTGAATATTCGAGAACGGCGGTGAACCTGCCCGGCCTGACCTGTCTGGAGTGAGCCAGACAAAGACGGAGGAGGACGGGACAGTGGAGGGTGGAGTTTGGAATGCGGCCGGCAGCAGGCAGACAGGTGTGGCAGGTGATGAAGGGTATCAGGTAACTACAGATAGAGAAACACCCTCGAGAACGTGAATCAAAACTTGCTGAGCCACCAAATCCTGATGTTTGAAATCGAGCCAACATTTCAGTCGAGTAACTAAAACAGTAATCAGCCTCCACATGTACACTCTCCTCCACCAGGGTTGGTCACACTGATGTTACCTCAGTGCTGATAGTGCTGACTAAACCTAAATACTAAAGGAAAACTACTAATCTGCACAAATGTTCATGAAAGCTTTGTTTTTTCCTGATGGTTTTGGGGCTGAAATTACGGGTCGTTCTCTGTGGCTCTCTGTCGAGGGTTCGTTTTAAAGCGAGCATATGAAACTAGATGAACTAACGCATCCATCGGTACCAACCGTGTCGATAAAGGAGCTAAATAACGCTCCAAATTTAGGCTGAACTTCCACTGACCTCCGACCTGAAGGTAAAGCTAAAACTGGCTCCTATGGGTGCCAACGCTGTGTAATCTGAAGGGTTATAATCATTATATTTAGAGAGGAATCCTGTTCTTCTCAGTGTTGTTGGTAGTTTAAACGAAGGTTTTACAGTAAGAGCAGTCAGATGTAATAAAAGGAAGTATTTTCATGTATATTTATGATGTGTAACATTACAGCTGTTTTACCATAAACCACCTTAAAACATAAGCACCGTGTTTCCAAGCGTCCGATTGGCTCCTGCCCCTGAGCACATACTGTAAACATCTCGACTCGTGTAAACAACTCATTATCCTGTAATTATAGACGAGGCCAAAGTCTCCGTCGGTTGTTGGTTGCGGAGGTCACGTGAGCTTTAGACTGAGTGAATCTGAGTCTGAGAGATGTTTTATATATGAAACACAGCTGTTATATCAGCGTGCACTAACAATACATCAATTGTGTAATTTAACAGTTACCATAGCGACGGCTCTCTGCTGCAGAAACAGTTGCTGTTATAATAATAATAACAGCACTTTTCAACTGTATTTTAATGTGAAAATAAATAGTAATATCACAGATAATGACTTTAATTACAGTTCTATAACTTTTAATATAAGAAAAGTCAAATAATAACAGCACTCTGCTGTAAATGTAAGCCTGATTATTGTATTATAGCAGAGTTCACCTGGATTTATAGCTCATTTCATTGGTTTTACAGTGTAAATATCTTTAATTAAACATTAAAAAGACAAAATATTACAAGATTTTATGTAAATATAAAGCTAAAAACTGTATTTTAATTACAGAAAATTATTATAATATTACTTAAAAAGTCGAATCGTTTAAATTGTGTTTGGAACTAAAAAACATGGAACGTCTGAGGTTTCCTTCCAACCCCTGAATGCACCACACACTGTGTTTATTGTATGTTTTTTTTTTTTTTTTTTACTGCTTTTTGCCCCAAAATTCAAGCTACATGATTTGTGAACCCAACAAAAACAAAAGAAGAACGTCGGGAACCGCTGAGTTACTGGGATTAAATGAAACGAGTGTGAACACAAAGTTAATCAATCTGGATTAAAGGTGAATGTTTCAGACTCACATCTCCAGCCAGCTGTTTGAAAACCCTCCGAAACTGTTTCTCCTCATCGCTCTCGTGAGCCTCGGCGAAGTTCAGGGGTCTGCGAGGTGGAGGCTGCGACACACACACACACACACACACACACACACACACACACACACACACACAAAGAGCCACTGTTAGGACACACAGATTCCTTCAGTGTGTTTGTTTGCTTATGAAATCTTCCACTGGGAGAAATCAGAGAGTCGATTCAATCACAGTAATGAGGTCAAATTAAAGGCGTCGACTCATTACGCAATAACTCACTGAACGAACTTAAATAAATAACGGGACCTGATTCTACAGGATTAAATAGTTTTCTTACAGGATTAAAGAAATTTATGTTGAAATAACTTAATTTACTTGAGTTCAATCAACTTAATTTACTAGTGTCAAACCCAAAACCTCGTAAGGAAGTTAATTCAACCTCACTAAATTAAGTTAACTCAACTCAAGAAAGTTGTTTCAACATAAATTGCTTAATGTTTGAGTCAACTTAATTTAATAAGGTTAATTTAACTTACTTAACTTCACACTGGCGGAGCACATTTAACATTTAACATTTAATAATCGACTAAAATCTGAATGTTAAATGATTTTTATTATTTTATATTGTCAAATATAAGATCTGAGGGATGTTATAATAAATGTCTATATAATTCAGACTACAGAGAGGAGGAGGAGGAGGAGGAGGAGGAGCTGCTTCATCGGGACTGTCGGTACTTACTGGGTCTGAAGGAATAAACTGAGCGGGGTCGATGTTGCTGTAAAGGAAGAAAACACGAGTTAGAAAGCAGCTCTGAGAAGATCAATATGTGGGTTCAATACAGTTAGCCTAGCTTAGCACAAAGACTGGAAGCAGAGGGAAACTGTTAGCGTAACTCACCTCACGACATTTACGATGCCTCTGATGAAAGAGTTCACTGTAAACATTTCTGCCGTCGGTCTGAAACAGAAAGAAAATAAACACAAATTAGTTTCTGAACAACAAATAAACAGAAAGTTTTAACAACAGATTATAATCAATAATTAATATTAATTCACTTTAATGTGACCCAGAAAGACAGAAATCAATCACTCAGTCATTGTTGCAGCCAGCAGCTACATTAAATGCTGTTCCTGCATCAGTAATATTGATCCAGTAATAAATAATAAAAACACTTTGTAACGAATAATGCTTTTATTTTGAAAAACTAACACCAATCATTAGCATATTAACTTGTAATTAAGTATTTTAAGGTGCTGATTAAACTCAGGGTGTCAATACTTCCTCCTCCACTTCCGTCTGACAGTACGATGGTTGTATTTTAACACATTAATACACAAATAACTGAACACATCTGTATTAACCGACTCCCTGAAGGACATTGAATGCCACTCGCTGCTCACTTTAAGTTAAAAACTGGATTATTTCCCCACTCTGATATTCTCATTTGTACTTTTCCACTAAGGCAGGCAGCACTGAACAACAAGCAAACACCCTCACCTCCAGCCAGTGTCAGGTTTCAGCACAGCAAACACTAACCTGCATTAAAGGTCCCTGAACACACCTCAGAGCTGCACTCACACTGTGAAAACACCAACAGTGGAAACTTCTGGTTCTTACTTACTGACACTGGGTGCTTCTAGCTGAGGAGGGAGAGACTGTCCGAGAGACGGGTGAGGGAGGTGAAGACACACTGAGGCTGATAGAGAGAGAGTGGGGGAGATATTCAGGCAGGAGGGAGGAGGGAGGAGGGCAACTCCCACAGCCAGAGTCCACTGAAACCAGTTTGACAAAAAAATTCTTTTTCAATGCATCATCAACCCCGCCCAACACACACACACACACACACACACACACACACACACACACACACACACACACACACACACACACCCCTGAGGCAGGCAGCTGCAGGTCCTAAAGTCCACCGGATTCCTGCAGTACAGATGACGGACAATAAACACAGTGTGTGGTGCATTCAGGGGCCGGCAGGAAAGCTCAGGCGTTTGTTTAAGTTACAAACACAATTCAAACCACTCGACTCACTTTTTAAGTAATATTATAATAATTTCCTTAATTAAAATACAGTTTTTAGCTTTAAATTTACATAAAATGTTGTAATGTTTTTTTCTTTTAATGTTTAATTAAAGATATTTACAGTGTAAACAATGATCAATAAATCCAGATGAACTCTGCTATAATACAATAATCAGACTTACATTGACAGCAGAGTGCTGTTATTATTGGATTGTTATTATTTTAATGTGAATGTTAAAAGTTATAGAAGTGTAATAAAAGTCATTATCTGTGAGATTACAGTAATTATTGCTGTTTACACTGATAACAACTGTATTTGGACAGTTTACCTTATACACTGATAAACAACATTTATTCAACTTCCATCATTATACAACATATCTGTCAGTTAACTCACTAATACATGAAAAATTACACAAAAATACTTTTTTAACTGTTAATGTCACAAATTTTAAATAATTTTAGAAATTAATTAACAGCATTAAACTTAAATTCAACAGTTTAATCTATTAAATAAACATTAAGTATAAAATATAGATTTGTGTGTATTTTAATCTTTTTATGTGAATAAATGTCCTCAATAAATCACATTTTCTTAATAAAGTTTTAGATAATATGATTAAACTGATCTGTGTAGAAGGTATTTATTATTTATTATTTTATTTCTAGAGCAACAACAATTCAGTGATTAAAATATTAAATATAATAGACATAATAATAGATATAATAATAATAATAATAATAATAATAGATATAATAATAATATATATAATAATAATAATAATATATATAATAATAATAATATATATAATAATAATAATAATAGATATAATAATAATAATAATACTAATAATAGATATTATAATAATAATAGATATTATAATAATAATAATAATAGTAGGTATAATAATAATAATAATAATAATAGATATAATAATAATAATAATAATAATAGACATAATAATAGATATAATAATAATAATAATAATAATAGATATAATAATAATAATAGATATAATAATAGATATAATAATAATAATAATAATAATAATAATAATATAATAGATATAATAATAGGTATAATAATAATAATAATAATAATAATATAATAGATATAATAATAATAATAATAATAATAATAATAATAGATATAATAATAATAATAGGTATAATAATAATAATAATAATAATAATAATAATAATAATAATAGATATAATAATAATAATAATATAATAGATATAATAATAGGTATAATAATAATAATAATAATAATAATAATAATAATAGGTATAATAATAATAAT